CGAGATAGCCCTCAACGACCAGATTGCTGCGCGAAGGCTGCGACGACTGGCGTTGCTCTGCACTGTTAGTAAAGGCGGCTGAAAATTTCTGGCCATAGAAGACCGTCTCGGAGAAGTCTGTCGTCGGATCCGAAGTTTTCTTGCGACGGGCAGCACGGGCGAAATCGATTAGCGGACTCGGGGCTCCGGCACGTATGGCATCCAAGTGCTGCGATACTTCACTTTCCCGAACGTAAGGGTAGTCCTTAGAGTTGCGTAAGTAACGATGATAATGTAGTTCGGGACTGATTGGCCTCACTTGGTTGAACTCAAGAGCGCTTTTCGATCGCGGGGGAATGTCTTCACTCCTGGTAGCACTTCTCTGCTGCAGCGCCGGATTGATAGCACCAGGTCGCGGCACAGGCAGTGCTGCTCTCCGTGGTGGGTTGCCTATCCTTTTCGCCGCGATTTCTGGAGGGACTATACGCGGACATTCTTCGGATGAGGGACTGTGCTGTGGACGAGAGTCTCGAACTGCTGGTTCCTCATTGACCTTACGACCCGGCTTCCGTCTGAAGGCTGATTTCATGTGCGAGAGCGCGCTTTGGGACTGACATTCATTGCATGGTTCGCTGGAGGGCGACTTTGGTGGCCGCATGCCACAGAAATCGCAGCGTCGACGTTCCACACTGGGGAAGGTATGGTATTCACTTGCATCATATGGACAGGGCTGGCTGGTTTCAGACAGCGGTGGTACCTGCAGTCGAATGACTGGAGGGGGTTGAGGAGCTTGCTGGTCAGCGCCAGCAACGCCTCGCTGCATTATGACTTCTTCTCCGAGTGACGTGCATGATCGTAGAGCTGAACTGATATGCGGGCTTGATCTTCGTATGGGAAGGGCTGCCAGGATTGTATTGAAACCGGAAGAAATGCGTCGCTTGAAAGTCCTTGGCCGCTCGGGTGGGACTATCGGTGAGTCTGGTTCAGAAATGAGCTTCGCTGGGTTTGGCATTTTCAGTAAATTGAGGCTATGGTTATGGGATATCTGGATAGCGAAGCGCAGGTTAAGAGCAAGCGAAGGTGTGATTTGAGAGCTTTCGTTACTTCCAAATGGCTCGAACGTCAGAGATCTGTGAACTGTGAAAGTCTCGATCTGGACCATAAGTTGGGCACCTTATGAATGGTAGAGCATTTGTGAATATTGACAGCAGCCATGACGTGGTGGAGTGAGGAACGTCTGCGAACGGTCTATTGGTGAACACAGTGGCAAACGTGAACAGGAGGACAACGCCGGAATACCAGCAACCGTGGTCTATACAAGATGTCGCACTCTCATATCTGATGAGATCGTGGCCGTGAAATGCTCCAGCTTGGTACGCGAGGGTAGCATTGCTTCCGGCTGCGACCAACGACATACTACCTACCCACAGCCGTTGACAACACTCTCGGTCTTAGTACCTTGAGAGGCGTCCCTCTTCAGGCCAGTCGTACATCTCTCGTAGGTGGTTTCGATCAGATGCGCGTTCTTGCCTCCAGCCATCGTCATCGTCGTTGTTGAAGTAGTCACAGTTGTAGTTGCGTGACGGGCCTGGTGAACAACCAGCGCACCTACCACGACGGTCGCCAACTTGATCTGTAAGAACTTCGCAGAGAATACAGAGCACGTGAACTCGATTGCAGATTGTGAGTAGTGTTCCTGGGACGTACAGCGCATCGCTTACCCCGCATTTGAGACAAAATCTTGTGTGGGCCAAAATACCACTGCGACACCATTTGCCTTTTCTCATATCGTCGGCAAAGGCTTTCCAGTGGTGAAAGCGGATGCAGCCTTTGCAAGTATACAGTTGTTTAGTCTTGGCCCAAGGAGTTCCTTCAGCGGCCAGAAACTCGGCATGCGTCGGTGTGGGTATGATTGATCTGAAATAGCGAGTTGTGAAAGCCAAGTTGGCTTTGTTGCTTAGGTCGAGAAGACTGATTATTTCCAGATGAAGCTCAACGGGCAGGCGAAGGAGGGGCGGAGAAGACATGGTGTGCACACGCTGTGCGCGTCGAACGGGCTTTCGAAGTCGCTTCGTCTAAGACCAGCGCGTCAGTTGGTGTTATGTGAAGATCGGCGTCCAGCTTACGATTGATGCCTTCCAAGTGGCTGCGGATTTCTTCCCTGGCGCCCTTTGCTGCCTGTTGCGCGAAGTATGCAGAACGCGAAGGGTGAAAGCAAGTCGCAGACTCTGCTTTTTGTCGAGAGGACGTGCAATACACTCCTAGGTCATGAGGATTGCAAAAGTGAGCAGGCTGTCTGTGAGCACAATTACAATATACGCCTCTTGTGTAATGCGAAAGCCACACGGACCTTTAAACCCGCGCATCCCTAGGTTCCTCAGGCACGACCAATGGTGGAGCCCATTGTTCGCGGCATTGTTGCCGTGTTCCGCCAGTTGCCTCCCTTGGTATGTTACACGACTTCAGGGTCCGGAAATTGCGATGGGGTATTCTTTCCCGTTTGTCAGCCACACCGTATACGTAGCACATTATCGCCTCAGCAAGGGCCTACTAGAGTTCAGACTAGAAGGTCTCGATGGCTACAATAGATTCCCGGTGCGCCTCCCGACACCACTGCAACTATTCCTTCTTCAAATCGTTGAGAACCATGTAGCGCGACAGGGAAATCCAGCCCCAACGAAACCAGCGCATCTGGCTTTCGTGTGCCGTGGTCATGGCTTTCTGGGCAGTCCTGTAACCGACCGGTGAGCTGACGAACAGGAGTGGAGTCGGAAAGCCTCCGAGCTCTTTCTTGCGGAGAATTGCGCCAATAATTGTAGCTGGTGCGTCCAACAAGCTAAGATATTTACGGAATATGGAGGTGGTGGTGAGGGTGTACAGCTTGACAGGGCACTCCCACCCGCTGTGTCGGTGCATGAGCGCCTTCAAGAAGGTATGCGCTCCGTCGTGGAGCGACTTGTGATTGGGATGGCCGGAGACGCCGTGTGCGTCAAAGGTGATTATAGTGTCGACAGTCGCCTGCGGTGCCTCCTTGGAAGAGATTGAGGTCATGTTTGGGGCGAAGGCGGTGGTGAGTAGGTTGGAGATTAGACGAGGGTGCCATGTTACTGTCATGGAATCGGGGAAGTTCCTGGGCCATAGTCAGTATGTTGCAGTCGGACGTGCATGTTGATGCGTACTTGTCTTCCACCACGAGAATGTCCTCCTTGCTCCCGATTCCCAGCTGCAGCCCACTCTTGACCAGCTCCTTCTTGCGGATTTCGCCAAGGCCATCGGCATCGCCTGTTGCACGAATGAGATGAGTGATTGCCTCTGAGAGCACTGGGGATGTGTGAGGGCCATACCGCTACTGAGGCACAATATCTTGACGTGATTTCCGCGTTCCGGACGCGTCAATGCCAGTAAAGTCGGCGCAAAAAACATGGCCTCATCGTCAGGATGCGCGATCAGCAGTAGGATGCGTTTGTTTTGTAATGTGGGGAAAGATGCGCCGAGGGTGCTGGTGTACATCCAGAAAACAAAGATGAGGACAGGCACCGATGCCCACACAGTCCAATTCATGGTCAGCAAGCGCATATAAGGAGTATGTTCGATTTGGTGTTTGCTACTGTATTGCTGCTATGTACCTGCGTCAGGAGAGGTAGCGCGTGCGCATGAAGCCATCGGGGTTCTGGAACGAGCTTTGACCCACGTCATCTTCGAGATTCCTTAGAGCCGCACGCGACATGTCTCGACCCTAACACCACACTCCCCAGATACACACACATCACCATGTCTACCGGCAACAGGAAAGAGCGACGTGCCAAGGAGTCCAAGACAAGCGCGAATGGCAAGGGAAGCGGCTTCCAGCCCACCAACGAGATCGATGAAGACGGCGTCGAAATGATCCTGAAGCATCCAGACTTCTCCAAGCCAACGGGCAAGACACTTTTTGACTTGGCCGAAGAGAGACAGCGAGAGCTAGACAAGATGAACGGTAGAACACGAGTCGTTAAAGTACCAGTAGCCTCTACACCTGCATCGCCCGACGACGTTCCTCCGATCGGACCCCTCGGGGACGCCGTCCTCTACTCCATCACGATGGCAGTCCTCCACCTCACCCTCGACGTCCTCGTATACAGCCAATACCGGGAGGACATACTCTGGAACGAGATCCTGTGGCGCGCTTCTACAGCGTGGCCCATATTCATCCTAGCGGTCTACCTCACCCACGTCGACTTTTCGTACCGATTCCCCATACTTAGAGACGCTACCTTCTTTGGAGGCTCTGTCGTGGCGGGGTGCTACCTGATATACTCGGGCAACAAGCATGGCTACTTCTACGTCATGAAGTCAGCTCCTCCAGTTGGTACGCTCTGGATCTGGAGCGTTGTGGAGATGAGTCTGCCGTTTGCGGTCACAAGCGTGGCTGCTGTTCTTGGATACATCTGGTGGAACGGGTTCGACTTTTTCTAGAGTAGTAGCAAGTATACTCTCCGGTTCAAGTCGCAAACACCGTTACTTGAGAACGAGGTCTTCGGCACGCATGCCGCTGGCGGACAATATAGGCAATCCCAATTCCATTGTCGGCACCCGGCTTTCTCGAGAACTGGGCCTCCTCTGCTTGAGGCAGCGAACTAAAGATACATTCATTTGCGGCCCCCACGTGAGAGTCTTGGAATTGCTCGGCCGCATAGCAAGCACAGTACATCTTGCATCATACAGTACGAGCCGTATCCGCTATTGCTTACGACTGGGTGTTTATACACGCATACCAGTGGCCAACAAAGCGGGATATTCAGAATGCGTCAATGCTCCCCGACCAACTCAAGGTTCGAGTTATGACAGCGAATCATCAATATACCCATGTGCGTTCTCACGTAAGGCAGCTGAATACTGTTCAGCCGCAAATTGTCCACGTCACAAACCCCGCTTCTGTTTGACTTTGAGAGCTCAAAACTCAATCTTGCCCTAACTACGTCATCACGAAAGACTACGAAAGTATAGTTCTCTGTGTCCTTCGAATCTTCATTGTCTCCCGAATGTCATCCGATCTTGGTCGCGGTGAACAGTCGTTTACCGGCGACCGGTCAACCCCACCGCCAGCTCGTATCCCGCAGTTATCATCGGGGCTCCTCAACATTGATCCTCCTCGTGCCGAAAGATCTTCTATCCCAATCACGCCTACCGTCGATCTCCAGCACATTCAACGTTGGCGTCAAGCTTGTCGTGCAACACACGGCGCTTGCTGCAACGACGACTACTCCAACGCCTTGGCAAAGAGCATCGATCAGCTCATGCTGGTCGACGTGATTAGTGGCTCGCTTACCATTCTACCCACTTCGTCGCCAATCAAGTATGTCGCCCTTTCGTATGTGTGGGGCAATGCGCCGATGTTCAAGACGACGACGAACAACATCGAAACTCTGCTGCAGCGAGGAGCTTTGTACGAGCCATCGAACAATGCAGTGCTTCCTGACACAATTCGGGATGCCATTCATCTAGTCAAGGCTCTAGGCGAGAAGTACCTGTGGGTGGATTGTCTATCCGTTGTTCAAGATGCCGGTTCAGAGAAGATGGACATTACGTTGCGGGCTATGGCCCGTATCTACGCAAGCGCAGAGTTCACGATCGTTGCAGCGGGTGGCGAGGATGCAGGACACGGTTTGAGGGGTATTGGGGGTCCCTCGACGAACCGAACTCCTAATCCCAGTTCGTTTTCCCGCCGATGGGATGCATATCCAAGAGGTTCGAAATGGGCAACTAGGGGCTGGACGTTTCAAGAATCGCTGTTCTCGCGCCGTCTCCTTGTTTTCAGAAATACTGTGTCGTGGGTATGTGGACGCTGTGAATGGCGCGAGGGCGTTGACAAGATCACGTCCACGCAAGACAGCCACGATCGCGAAAGCATCACGTCTTTGAGGATGGAAGACACTAAATGGCCAGCAGAGCGCCCACATCTCGGCGTCCCAATGGGCATGATGTCCTTGATTCCCAAGATACCGACCCTCGGTCGATGGGGAATGCTTGTGGAAAACTTCTCTTCGCGGGATCTCAAGTACGAGAAAGACGCTCAAGCAGCATTCGCGGGTGCTACTGATATCATGGACGCTACTTTCCCAGACGGTCTACTCCACGGCATACCGAAGTTCTTCTTCGATATCGCATTGCTTTGGCGACCTCAGAATTCCGCACGTAGACGTGAGGGCGAACCTAGTTGGTCGTGGACAGGCTGGAAGAACGGAACCATAAACTGCCTGTCTGCTTGGTATCCCTTTTATCCCAGGATCTTTCGTGATACCGGCCTTGAGTCAGATTGGGTCGCTATTGCGACCTTGAAACCGGTGGCAGAGTATCGGTTGGCGAACGCGGTAGATGGAAGTAGTTCGCAGTTCAATGGTTTCTACCGATATCAAGCTCTTCGGAAAACCCCTGATGAGACACTTCCCACAGGATGGAGCCGAAATTACGACCCAGAAGGCGACTACTTCACGAACACTGCCTATCCGCGAAGTACTAGATATCCGTTCCCACTTCCTACCGTAGACCCAACCGAGCGAAGGCCACATGTTCCAATTTCTATTGTTCTTCGCTGCCGAGCTCCATGCATACACCTGACTTTTGGGCGTGCGATGGCTGGCGACCACAGACACCGTATGCTGCGCAACGATGAGCAGATGATCGGCAATATCACCATAACGTGCGAGACCTTGGACCATGAACCCGAAGATGGTAATGATTGTGAGCTTGTCGCTATCTCAGAAGCCGAAACCTCGCAACAAATGGGAGTAGAAGAGTATGGATGGCCTGACTTTTCTTTCGAGGAGTACCAGAAGTATTTTACCGGAGTATCTTTAAGGAGTGATAATCGGAAAGCATCGTTCTACAATGTCATGTGGATCAAGTGGGTTGGAAACGTCGCCGAAAGACGGGGATTAGGTGTTGTGCTGAAGGATTCTTGGGACGCACTACAACCCGAGATCAAAGAGTTCAATCTAGGTTGACCTACATCATAATATTGAACAGCTCCTTATCTATTTGAGCTACTCTTCAATACTAGCCAATGCTTCACAAGCCTTCCCGTCTATAACCCGCTCCTTCCTCGATCCTCTCATCATAATGCGAAGAACCAATGAAAAAGCCATCAAAAATTATGCCAGAGACCGCCCACAAAGAGCCATCAGACAAGACCAGTTCCACAATGGTGCCATGCAGCTGATCTAAGCCGGTCTATGCGAATGCGTGTGCTCGCCGACCCTAGCTGGTAAGTATGAAGAACATGAGGAAGTGATGCGAGCTTATATAGACGATGGATTGAGACGATATACAGATTTAGTGGGAAGGCAGCAAGATGTATAAATCACGTGACTGAGGATGCCTAGCAATGCGAGAAAAGATGGTGTGTCTGGAGATGTAGGGGCGTTCGATAGTGTAGGCAGAAGCTGACATGCATGGGCACGTGATGGTAGCAGCCTGCACGACAGGCTTTTTATTTCTCTTCATTGGTTGTGGCATGCTGCAGCGTCCCTTTTTGGGCAACTGTGACATCTACGCGTTCGAGACCTGCAAGTATCCCACGCTACTGTCCCTCCGCGAGCCTCAACGCTTCCATCCTACTCGTACTTTGTGGATCCAGATATGGCCGCTCACCCAAGCTGACTACTCTATACCCCTTCCGCGGTCCTTGGCCATCGGTATCGTACGTCGCTGTATGCAATACGCTTCTGTTATCCCAGATGGCCACGTCATTTGGGTTTTGCCATCTATGTCTGATCTGCAGATCGTGATTTTCGGTGATTAGCTGGAGGAACCAGGCTTTAGTACGCTCTGATTCCTCTGAGCTCAGCTCATTGATACGCTGAACGTGGTGGCCAACGCTGTAGAGAGACTTCCATCCCGTGACGGGGTTCGTGCGGATGCAGGGGTGGATAGCGGTCAGGGAGTCGCCAGTGTTCTCTGGTGCACCTCGCGCAGCGGTGTAAACGGGGAAGTTGTTTTCTTTGGCCGCTCGATTGAAGTCTGGTTGGGCGTATGTTGCGGTGAGAGATTCGAAGAACTTCTGATACGGTTTCGAAAGGCGGTCATAAAGGTCGTACCCTGATGCCCACAAAGTATCTAGAGCAATCTTAGCCTGACTAACGGGAGTATGGCTACTTGCCGCACTCACCTCCTCCTGATTTCGGTAGCTGCGTCATTCTCAGGATTGCATAGTCGCTTGGTACCGGCTCAAACGTGATATCGCTGTGCCAGCCATGCTTGCCAGTCTGTGACCGCTCTTTGAAGAGTTGCTTCGCCAAATCTGAGCTAATGACACTGATCTCATTGTCATTGCCTCCAAGACGGTTTCCCGCGTTTCTAACTGGGTGGATATGCAGCTTGGATGTTTCTGGTTTGCCAGAAAGCTCGCCGAGACGCTGGGCCAGCTCTTTTTGAAGTTCGTCATCCAAATCATCCTGCTTGCGGAAGTAGACAACACCGCGCTGAGAAACTTTCCAAAGGCTCAGTGTTCAGTCATTGGGAAAACATTGAGTGTCGCTTACTTGTGATTGCCAGGTCGCGTATCAAATCGTCGGAGTTTGGCGCGCGCAACCATTCCTTCAGACTTACATCCACAAATTCGCGGCCGATGACTGGTGTAACGTCGAAAGACTCGAAGGTATCCAGAACGCCTTTGGTCTTTAGAGGCTCGCGAGGATATCCAGGCTGCGTCTTGATGCCTATGTCCTCAATGGCAGTGGTGGTCAAGGTGTTCGTAGCCATGATCAACGATGCTGATTTGCACTGCTACAGGGTATTTCGCATTCCGACAGAGCGATGTCACACTTATCTCTTACTCGCGTTCGCCACATCTACTATCCCTGAGCGCATTTGCATCGAAAGACTGATGAACAGTAGCTCATCGGCTTGTGCATTGGCATCGTAGCATCATCGCATGGATAGTATGGTGCAATCATTCTCGGCACACTTATGATAGTGGCGGTAGTCGCTTCCTGCAACCACAATCTTCCATGATGCGCGATATCGACGAGGTGTTGCGGGGTTGAGGCTACGACATGTGGGGGTGGAATGGCGTGCTGCTTGGCAGAGTCCCATTCACAGCTGGCAATGGCATCGATCCGGAAATAACGCGTCGCGACCTTTCCGCGCATGCAACGGCGGATGTAGTGTTAGTATGGCAGAGAGATGCTTCGTCGTTCTTGCCTTCCTCCAGGGGCACACTAGTCCTCGATTAGTTTGGACCGAACGCGACGCGACCGCGACTTCCCAGCCCCTTGCTCTTTCGAGCTGCATCATTCACGATAACATCGCTGGCATGTGTACAGGAACCTTCAACCGTCTCAATAAAGACATCGCTACACTTACAAGGTACTCAGATTGCCAAGTGCAAATTTCGCGTAGGCTATTCCGGCAGTGTCTGACGACATCTTCACCATTCTTGCAACATACCTCGCTACGATGCATCGGCGATCAAAGACGGATCCTTTTCTCAAAAAACTGATATCGACCCTTGTATATGACAATCGAGGTAATCCGACTGCGTTCATACTAAGCCCACGGAGCCAAGGGTAGGCTTTCGGGACGAATCAGCCAGCACGCATGTCGTATCCTTCCGATGAACGGCTGTTGTATCGATGTTCAGAGACTCCGACTGATCTAAGACGATGGTGGTATATACGCTATCGTGCGACTGACATTTCGCATGCGGTCGATTTGTAGCTACACTGTGTGCTTCCTACGCCAAATTGGGCTCCACATGTGGCCGCGGAAGCCATCTCCTCGACTCAGATTGCAGGGTAATGGCGGCATTCAAGTGTATCGTTAACTGACCTATCAGCATATAGCTGGCTGGATATGTATGCACTGTCAGTGAAGCTCCTCGCATGCAATCACTGCTATCGAGTTTCTGTCGCATGAACGTCATTCCTTATCTATGGCTTTCGTACCCAAGTCTCTCGGCTTTCAGAGCCTTGTCTAGACGGTAAGGTTCTTCATTTTAGCGCATGTTGTCACATGTACCCGGGGTTGCATCATCTGTCGATACAGTTCCTAATCATGGACATGTCCGGTCCCTTATAACACTCCCTCGGTACATTCGTTAATCAGTACCGACCGATTGGTCTAAGCCAGATCAAAACGAATCACGAGAAGAAGTTCGCTTTCATCTATCCTTGCAGACATGGCTGCATCTACACCAGTAGAAAAGCAGGCTCCCATCACCGAAACCGCTGACCCGAGGTCGTCCCACGGCTTGAAGTCACCACCGCCACATCATGGCTCACACGAAGACCATCCGTTCAGCGACCCGGCAACGGCTCAGCGCTGGCGTCAAATATACGATGACGCCGAGTACGAAGGACGTCATCGGTTCGACCCGACGTATACATGGGGAGCTGAAGAAGAGAAACGTCTAGTCAAAAAGGTAAGAAGATAACCTCATGGCATTTATCAGGGCTGACGCTATCGGTGTAGCTGGACTGGCGAATAGCTCTCTGGGCATGGATCATGTTCATATCGATGGAGTTGAATCGAAGAAATATCAATCGAGCGATCTCAGACAATTTGCTGAGAGACCTAGGTGCGTTTCATCTAGATGGAGGAAAACATATGGTGGATCACTAAATTGGATCAGGCATGAATACAAACGACTATAACTATGGTCAGACTGTAAGCTTAATACAGTTCGTCACTATCAGAACTCTCGTTGACGCAAAGCTAGATCTTTCTCGCTTCTTTCCTCTTTGCCGAACTTCCCAGTGGCCTGATTAGCAAGAAGCTGGGTGCTGATCGGTAAGTCCATCTGGCCTACTCGCCGTCTCGTCAGGCTTCAAGTACTAACCTTATGACAGGTGGATCCCTACTATCATCTGTATATGGTCCATTGTCAGCGCCTCACAATGCGCCATGAAGACGAAAGCCCACTACTTCGCCATTCGATGCATCCTTGGTCTACTCATGGGCGGCTTCATCCCAGATATCGTCCTCTGGCTAACGTACTTCTACAAATCCACTGAACTTCCGCACCGGTTAGCGTGGTTCTGGACTGCGCTGAGCACTTGCAATATCGTCGGCTCGCTGCTTGCAGCAGGTATATTGCAGATGCGAGGTCTCCATGGCTGGGGAGGTTGGCAGTATCTGTGAGTTGCCTTTACACTGTCCTTCAACTTGCACCATTGATAACACAAACAGGTTCTTAATCGAAGGCATCATGACTCTAGCCATCGGCATCCTCTCATTTGGCCTCATGCCCCCTGGCGCCTGCCAAACGCAACACTGGTTCCGCGGCAAAAACGGCTGGTTCACCCCACACGAAGAGTACATTCTCGTCAACCGCATCCTCCGCGACGACCCCTCCAAAGGCGACATGAACAACCGCCAAGCAGTCGGTCTCCCACTCCTCTGGAAAGCAGCATGCGACTGGGAACAATGGCCCCTCTACATCATTGGCCTGACCGCCTATGTCCCACCTAACCCGCCGCAAAACTACCTCTCATACATCCTGCGCCAGCTCGGCTTCTCCGTCTTCGAAGCCAACTTACTCGCCATACCCAGCCAGTTCCTCTACGCCATCCAACTCCTCGCCGTGACCTGGCTATCCGAAAAGTTCAAAGAACGCTCCATGATATCCAGTCTATCCAACATCTGGATCTTCCCCTGGCTCGTCGCTCTTGTCGTTCTGCCCGCAGACGCAAATCCCTGGGTCAGATACGCGCTCCTCACAGGTCTACTGTCCTATCCGTACTGCCACGCCATCCTCGTGAGTTGGAACGCGAAGAACTCGAATTCTGTCCGTACACGCGCCGTCTCCGCGGCTTTCTACAACATGTTTGTGCAGTCGGGCAATATCATTGCTACTAATATTTATCGCGATGATGATCAGCCGTTGTACCGCAGGGGAAATAGGATACTGCTTGGTATCTGTGTGTATAACGTTTTCTTGTTCTATGCGGTGAAGGCGTTTTACATTTGGAGGAATCGCGTAAGAGATGAGCAATGGAAAGCTATGACCAAGGAAGAGCAAGAGGATTATGTTTTCAATACCAAGGATGAGGGGATGAAGAGGTTAGACTTCAGGTTTTCCCACTGATGAGGAGGGGTATCAATCGAAGATTGTGGACCCACGTAGATAGTAGAACAGATAGCGAATGAATCAGAAGTACATGTTACTTCTACGTATCTTTCATTTCATTGTTCCATGCTTTAGTCGGCTACAGAGTCTGTTTGCAACTGTCAGTCTTCTCTATTTCAGTCTTCTCAAGTATACAGTACATTCAATGCTGTTTTATGTACTATTGTGAAGACAAGACCGGAGACTATTTGTACTTCTTGCTCGGGTCACGACCGTACACAACTTGCTTTTCACGGTTTTATTCGTTCGTGAGGGCCTTACAATCATACGCTGTACCCGGTGTACAACGTGGGCCTGAAGGATAACATTCCGTACTTGACGCTGTACCTAGGGTATAGCTTTGGTTTGAAGAGTACAATAGAGCTCAAGTATGGTAGAAATGACTTCCTTGTCTCCCCTGAAAGCGACTTTCCAGCTTCTCAACTCCTTTGAGCAGGTAACGCGCCCTTGTCATCTCCTTCCGTCTATCTTCGTATGCGGAGTACCCTGTCTCCACACCTCTAAGGGCACCTTTGGCCATGCGAAAGCGTTCCTCTTGAGCCCTTATGAGGTAGTATCTCGCCTCAAAAGCCTCTTTTGCCGACGGCCACAGCTCTGGGTGGAGTTCGCGGTTCTACCGTCGTTCAGCGAGCCACTTATCTGCCTCTGCCCAGACCTGCTTTGACGCGTCTGGCACAGTAGAGTTATTCGCAGACTTGACACCGGCACATATGGCGTCCCATAGTGAGAATGCGGACTTGAGATCGCCAGCGAGGTTAAGTGATTGCGGGAAGTAGCGTTCTGATGCGGTTTGAATAACGCGTGACTTGGTCGTTGGGGAGGTCGGATCGGCATCGCCAGTGAGAAGCTCATCGAGGTACGATTTGGCTGCTATGCTAAGCGCACAGTTGTTGGGCAGAAGGAACGGAAGCCTAGAGAGCGTTAGTTTATCAGACTCGGGTCACTGTGATTCGGGACGACTAACTTCATCGCGATGGCTGGTATATCAGCATGTCTAGTGCAGCAACCAGTACAGAACATTTGTGTAGCGGCCACCTCGATGATATCTCGAAGCGACTGACGAACTTTGTTGATGATGGAGTTGTAACCGAGCAAATGTTGGCTGAGAGGTCCGGTGAAACCAATCGGACGGTGGTGCAAAGTACCTAAGCCAGCAACACGAGACACTAGCATATTGTACTCCTTGTCGTTCGCTAGGCGGCTGTCAGCTATGCAGGACTTGGTCAAAGGCTTCCCACTTACTGCTACCACGCATTGGTGCGCCGTTGTACATAGAGAACATATCGATGTCGGAGTTCAAGAGGCCCAGCCGTATCAGTTCGACCGCGATCACTGCAGCCTCTTCGTGCTCTGGCTTGCCCTTTAAGCCAGCGATGATAGAAACAAGGACTTTACCCCATTGTGTCAGATTATGGCTCTTGGGGTCGATGTACTCCCGTAGAGCGAGGAAGCGCCATATCGAGTTGTACAGTATCTCGGAAGTGGAAGAAAGAGGAGTCTTAGGATCTTTCCTGGCGACCGATTTGGTAACGAAGTCGGAGTTTTGCAGTGATAAGATGGCTGCACCGAGAGTTCCGCAATCCTGTCAGAGCGTTAGTATTGACCCGTCAATTCGGTTGCGGCTTTGCTGACCTTGTACTGTCCGACAACATCCCTGAATGTAGCTTCCTTCACGTTCCAGGTGTCAACGAGCGAAGGAGCTATGGCTTCTGATGGCTTCTCGACAGGGATGGTTGTGGATGTGCGTTTCCCATTGGGTTCGACAGGAGAATACCAATGCGTCTGGTGCAGAGACTGGTGCCGATACCAATTATGTAAGGTACTAGACAAAAGGTTGACAGCGGGTGTTCGAAGTGGGATCAGCTTAGAGCTGACGAGGTCCCTGTATTCTGGAGACAGGCCACCATCCATGGGAGGGACTTCGAATACCTCGCAGGTAGTGCGCCACTGGATGATGTGCGGGCTGATGAGACCTTTCGACATGTAGTGGAGGATCTCGTCTGGAAGCCTTTGACCCAGATACTGACCTGCATCGTTAGGCATCGAGCCGGAGTTCTGAGGCTCGACCTTCCCTTCCTCGGTGTAGACTGGGTGATTTTTGACGGCCAGGCGTGCTTTCTGGTATCGCGTGACGTATTCCTTGCCCGCGGGCGGGACATCATTGTTGTTGACAACCACAGAGTATCCGGACTGACCGTTGTTCATGATGGCCTTGATGGCGCCGTGCGGCTTGATGAGCTCTGCCCTGTTAGGCGCGTCGAGTATTGGGTGGGTCGGGAGGAAGGGCGTGCCGGCGAGTATGCAGGTATCGAGAAAGATATCGTCTGAGATGTTGGGAGCGCCGACAAACTTGGAAAGGTCGGCTACGCATTTCTCTCGGCGGACGAAGCTGAAATTTCGGGCCTCGAAGTCCCAAGATGTTATGATTTTGGAGCATTCGAAGATGAGGATATCTGACGAGCCGTAGACGGCATGTACGTATTCGTGTTTCTCGAGATATGCCAACTGTCCATAATTAGTCACTGCGAACAGATATTCCAGAGATGCTTGCCTGGGCCCAGGCGCTGTATGGCGCGACTGTCCAACGAATGTTGCGCTCGGTCAGGGTTGACTGTAGGGCGCGGAAGAGGTCCTCGGGCGTGACGTATGCTGAGAAGAGTCAGCACGATACACAGTCTCATCTTGACGGTGGCCATACTTGACTGTCCGAACTTAGCGACAGAGGCTTCCGCCTCGTGACCATCGTACAGAGTCCACGCATTGATGTTTACCGATGCCTCGGTCTCCTTTTGCCTGAAAGGATCATCGTGTTTTGTAATGTCCAGCCCGCTGAAGACGAAGACGGGTTCGATGTCGAAGCTGCGGAATTGGGCCAGATCGTCCTCAATGTGTTGTGTCAGGGCCAGCGGAAGGCCTCCCAGCGCAGGCACAAGCGGCTCTTTTGCGCGCGGGTGATTGAGGATGCGCTGGTTCAGATATTCGGCGGCTTCGATGCCTACGCGGCAATTGCGCAATTGTTCGAGCTCGCCCGTTTCGCCCAGTGTGGCCGTCCATTGTACGAAGTCGCGGATCATGGTGCCAGTCGCGTGGTGGGGCTGTTTGAAAGTAATGGGAATGAGGGATTGATAATGAACGGAGACGATGGCAGTGAAGTCTCGAGTAATACTAAGAGATTCGCCTGGCGTGATTACTGTATGTAGCGACGACGTGTGGTAAAGTTGTAGAGGGTTGCGGGGGTGTGGACAGTAAATTGGAAGCTCCGATGCAGCTCCACGCCTTGGCAACCACACGATCCCTGATCAGCCGGGCGCTAGCTCAGGTACAGCGTCTAGCCGTACGAGGGAACGCAATCGCGCCGAGTAGAGGGATGAATGACGGGTAGGCGCAGAATTGAGGTGATCTGCTTCCGTAAAAACACCCCAATTCGAACGTGGCTTCTCTGTTGCTTTCTTAGTGCCAATCGCGTCTCACGTCTCACCTCTGCCCCTCACCTAGCGTTACTCCAGGCTTTCACGCGTCAAATCTCACTCTCTCCAAATGGCTAGTTCAGGACACCACTCGGAAGCCATACCGGTTATTGATATCTCAACTTCTTCCGAAGACGTCGCTCGGCAAGTGCTGGTCGCGGCTTCCACACATGGCTTCCTCTACATTAAGAACGATGGTGTGACCATCCCGCCTCAGGACATCGATGACATGTTCAAGTTGGTATGATGTGTCGATTGTCCAAAACTAAACTTGTTGATTGATGAGAACAGTCTAAGGAGTTTTTCGCCGCTCCCAAAGAGCAGAAATCTGAATACGCGATCCACTCTGAGAAAGCAGGGGGCATAAACCGCGGCTGGGTTCAGATGCAAGGCGAATCTCTGGATCCTGAAGGTCAAAAGGTAATTGCCAACAGAACAAGTGAAAGAACTACCTGTTGACGAAATGAATAATAGCAAGGTGATCCAAAAGAAGCCTTCAATATCGGGCCCCCAACCCCAACCCTCCAACCCCTCCCATCGCCCCTACAGGAATCATCCGATCTAATCTCTCGTTTCCAACACTCCTGCCACACCCTCTGCACCCAAATTCTCTCTCTCCTCAACACCGCCCTCCAAATTCCCGACCCCAAGTACTTCAGCACGCGACACGACCAATCTCTCGGCCCTTCTGGCACCATCTTCCGCATGCTCTACTACCCATCTACGATCTCCCAAGGAAAAGACTCCAAGCAAGGTGAAACCAGTATCCGTGCAGGTGCACACTCGGACTACGGTAGTCTAACTCTCTTGTTCCGTCTGCCAGGCCAGCCTGGCCTTGAACTGTCTACGCCTTCAGGGTGGAAGGCAGTGCCGGTGAGCCCATCGCCATCGTCATCACCTCCAATCCTGGTCAACATAGGAGATTTGCTGTGTTATTGGACTAATGGTATGCTGAAATCTACAGTCCACCGGGTTACATTTGAGGGCGGGCAGGAACGATACAGTATGGCGTACTTCTGCCACCCGCTAGATGAAGCAAGGTTGGACACCGTACCCAGTCCCGTGATTGAGCAGTTTGGTAACAAGGGGGAGGAAGAACTAAGGAGTCAAAGAAAGAGATTGGGGTTGAGAGAAGATGGGCTCGGAGAAGAAGTGATAACAGCCAAAGGGCATTTGGAGAGACGACTGAAGGTGACGTATGGAATATGATGAATCAGATTCAACTGACAAAAGGTATTACTATCAAACGCCTGCGCTATGCTCCATTGTTACTTCAAAGAACACCTCGCTATGCTTTGCGCCATCCCATGCAGTCAAATCCAAGATGACTTCCTTGCACATACACCACTTACATCATGACTGTACAAGATGAGGGTCTTCTTCACCCTCGCCTCTTCCTACCCGCCCTTCCTGTAGTATTCCCTCCAACGTCCTTCACGACGCCAATTCCTTCAACTGCCACACTCTTCTCCTGCATAGTCCCACCTAGCTTCTTGATCATCTGCTCCCTCGCTTTCGCAGCACCAGGAGAATCCCAACCTAGCTCCTGGCTAGGCTGGTATTCCTCCACCAGCACCGTGTTCTCCTCTTCTTCCTCTTCTCCAGCCAGAATGTTCCCGGAGCTATCACCCGCTGACGCGTTCGACCGCGTGGACGTTGCGCGACCAAGCTGCCGCCTCTTCCGCGTCTTGCCAGGTGCCTGATCGACGGACGTTGGCATGGTCTTGCGGTTTGCGCGCATCTGAGCTAAGATTGAAGAGTAATCCTTTTCTTCTTCCGGTCCTTTTGCCTTTATTGTTTCCTTTTCTTTTGGTGCTTCCTGTGGTACCGGCTCGGTATCCGCCGGGATCACGGAGTCGGGTTCAGGAACAGGAACGACCGGATCTGGGATCTGACCAGCCTTGGAATTGCGGGGTGCCGGGGCTATGAGAGACTCGGCCGATGAACTCCTGGGTCGTGAGAACGATTTTGAGGCATGCGGGGACGTTGATGGGCGGCGCGGGGAGTTGGCGCTGGTTTCTTGGAGGGGGTGGGAACCTGCGCCATCCAATCCAGGTATGACAGACTCATCGTCATCGTAATTTAGGCCGTTAGTATCATTGTTGGAAGTATCCGCCTCATCTGTAGTTGATGCAGGCGTTGCATCTGCTGGTGCAGTGAGAGCAAGAGTACCACGCTGCTGTGGGTGCAGAGACGTTTTCACGGCATTGGTAGGCTGTTGCTTTTTCTGACGAAGCTCAAGGCTCTCTTCCGTGGACAACAGTGCAGTGGGCACATCATCCTGTGGTTGAGGCCTCTGTTTAGGCTTCTGTGGCTGAGGCGGCGCTGGCTTGTTCAATTGATACTCGGCATACGACTGTAGCCGACCACTACGCAGACAATCCCAAAGCCATGTGGCATGAACAGCGGGTATCCGTTTGTCCGTGGCGAATTTGAGTTTCGGTGTGTTTATGGTAGGAGGGTTGCAGATCACAACCGAGGTCTTCGCCGATAGCTGTTCATCGTACGAGGCACCTGTCAAAATTGTCAGACGATTCCAATGGAGGCGGAGCTGATCCCGTACCCATAAGCGTGACAACTTTGGTCACATGCAGTAACTCGATGCCGGAAAAGCCCGTAGAGTTGATGGTGAGTCCAGAGAACCCTGGCTACGTCAGCATCTAATAAAACAACGGTGGAGCACGAGCTTACCTCTGATACTAAGCTTTTCGAATGGTCGACTTAACACATCGTCCGATGGATCTACTAGACGTTTGCCATACAAGCAGCGCTCGACCCACCAATTGGTGGCCAGGTTCATGTGTTCTCCGGCACGCCCCGGAAGTGCCGCCGAATCGACCTCGACGTCATGCGGTATTACAAAGTAGCCTCGTCTTAGATCGTCGGATGGCGCATTGTTGAGATCGGTCGCATGGATTACGTGCGCGCCGTTGCTCTCGAGGTGTTGGCGCAAAATGCTTGTCTAGCGGGAACGTCAGCTAGGGCTGAAATGTAAGATGGTATGACAAACCTTCTCTGCATCAAAGCCATGCGTGCATACGAGTCGTCCTTGAAAGATGCCATCATGTTGGGACACATTGTTCGTATGTGGTGGCAATGATGGTTCATGACTGTCTGCATTGTCATCAAGGTGCGCCTCGATAAGCGAATCATTCTCATGGACGGATGCATGTCTGTGAGGGGACGCTGGGGTATGTGTGCGAGTGCTTGTCCGCGTACTATCTGGCTTAGTAACGATTTCCTCTGTCCATTCATCCTCATCAATCGGTCGTTCGAAACTGGGCGCTGTGATGCCCGCCCAAAAGGCATCACTTTGGCTGCCAACCTTGGTGCTTGCTGAGCGACGTAGCTTCCTGCGGAAAGGATTCAGGGCCTGACTCGGCTCTGCATCTCGTGTACGCTTGCCTATGGCGGGCGACGCGGGCAGTTTGCGATCCCAAGCACCCTGGCCTCGCTCTTCGACAGGCATGGTGGGGTTGTAGAGGGCTTCGTCCAGCACCATGCCTCTCTCCAGACTTTGTTCGAGCCACTCCAGCGACACGATCTTCATCCTCCAGTTCAGTGCGTGTTCGTACTTCTTGCCCGATGGCGCGGCTGCGATGAGGTGGGTGACGGACTTGGTGAGGTCGCCGTGGTACTCAGCTCCATTGGCGTCCACCGACTCCTGAATGGTCTTACGTTGATCGGCTGTAGTAGTCAGTATCGTCGTGTGCGCATGAAACTGGCGACGTACGGTTGTCGAAGCCGGTAAGGCATATCTTCAGCCCAGCGAGGGTCGGCATGCGGTACTCCTTTTCCAGCGCGGCCATGTCGAGATCGTCATCGCCAGTCATCCACACCTCCCTCAAGGCTTCGAGCCACTCCGGAGAGAGGACCTTGACGTCCTCGCGAGACTTGGCGACATAGCGGTATTTGGCGCTGTCGGTGCTGCCGACGATGAGGTGGGTTACGTCTGATGTGAGGTCGAGCTTGATGGTCGCGCCCATCTGCGCGCCAATCGCTGCGAGTTTGGCCTATATGGTCATTAGACACAGCGAGATATCAGCATCTGGAGTAGACGTACGCGCTGCTCGGGGGCAATAGAGGTGCAACAGAGGATGGCCCCAGCCAGGGGCAATTGGCCTGCTCCTGCATCATGTGAGCATGTGTATGATAACAATGATACCCTATGTGTCCTACCATAGCCTCCATCATGCGCGTCCATTACTTGCAAAGTCGCGGTGTCGAGTGCTTACGCCGAGCGAAGCGCGTCTGAGCTAAGCCCTGCCCTTCGCCAGACGCGTTGCGGGGAAGCCAGCGTGGTCACGTGGTGCCGCCTCACGCTCGCCATTCCTTCCGCACTGCCCGCCCTGCCGTGTCCGCTCCTCAACCCTCCCCCAGATGCGCCGAATCTCGCACATGCCACGAAAAAAAAAAGCTTTCCACCCCACTGCCGAGGATCCACCGCAGCCAGAGTGACGACTGCTTCGTTCCTGGCCTCGAACTTGAGGGCGGCTGAGTTGGCAGCCCGCCCTGTTCTTTGCGCCGATCTGCCCACTCACGTTTGCTGTAACTCCAGATTCAGAACCCCAGGCGCTGATCACTACGCGATTGGGCCGTCAGGTTTCTTTTCGGCGATCGTGGGAGGTGACGCCCTGTTTATGTGGTTGTTCTGATGCACCATGGCACAAGATGCCCGGGCATGATCTATCATCTGTTCGATAGTTCCAAAACAAGGAAGACGAACTCTCCGCCCATGCGCTGGCGGAGCATCGCTTGGTCTGTCGCGAGATTGCGCGTTGCCCATGCCCAGCGTGGCTCTGCCATCTTGGAGTCTAAGCGATGCCATATCCTGTCAGCTATCATGGGCGCGTGCTCGCATACATACTGTAATCAGTGCCTGTCGGGGCTTTGCCATCCGTGCGTGCTACTGGCAGGATGAAGCACGCCTTGTCGTCGTCGATCAAGGTAACGTGCCGGGTATGCCGTAGTCGGTCGCTATCCGCCAACGGGTCTAGAAGCAGCCTTAGCAGATGCCCATTGAGATCTGACCCCTGCATCGAGTCTTGCAGACTCTTGGTGCTCAGCATGATGTAATGCATCCGAGCCTCCGTCCGCGCAAGCTACTGCTGCGCTGCCATGCCGCTCCTAGTAACGCCTAGCACGCTCATATACCCGCTGCGGGAATATCCTGCCCTGATGCGCTGCTTGCACGCCCTCACGACCATTCCTTACCCCATCCGGGTACCCACTGATATACCTCTGCTAGAGCAGTAGCAGCCCATCTCAAATTCATCATCCTAGCTGCTGCGACCCCGCCGACCAGCAGCGCTGCACACCGTCCACCGTCCGCGTCATCCGTCTGTTCCCTGCAAACTCGACGCTCGACGCTCGACGCCGGTACACTTTCGCCGTCCCTGCACTGCCCTAGTCTGACATGCTCGCGTCCTCGTAACATGCCTGCTCGCTGGCTAGCTGCAACTCACTTCAAAACACCCGCGAGTTCCTGTTATTCGCCGTTGTTGTCCTGGCAGGAAACTCCTCTCTGTCGCCAGCGCAAACCCTCGCTCCAGGGTATTCCCGCACGCTTCCGACGCACCGGCGACTTCACCGCTCCACTACCCTACAGTGGCCTGTCGTGCTGATCGCATTTACACATCATTAACTAGGTAGCCTCACCCACGCCTTTGGATACCCTGTCTCTGCTCGTGAGTCCTTGTCTCATCTCCCCCTTCACCGCGTTCGGGCCCTTTGTCCTAGTAGCGCCCAACCTCAACGTCCCTTCCCAAAGCATCCATATGGAACCTGCTTGGGTTACCGTGGTCAAGAAGCCTTTGTACCCCTCTCATGACTCTGAGGTGTTGCACAAGCCAAATTCTTCTCTGCTTCCTGAATTACACCTCGTATAAGACACAACACGCCGCATGCCTTGTCACCACACCTTGATCCTGTCCTCCACCTCCACCTCAAGTCACTAACGCATCGTCGCTATGCCAGAGTACCACACCGTCTACTCTGAACGTGGCCGATTACGATATCTACCCGACCACTTAGACACCCCCAAGAAAACCTACCGCGGCATCTTTGCTGGCCGCAATCGCAGACCGCACCGCATTCACATCGCACACGTCGGTCCTGATCCGACTTTATTTCGCAGCCAGAGGCGCCAGACGACTAGTCAGTCGTACTTCACAGAAAAGCTGGCGGCCCCACGCGACGGCGCTAAACGTTTCCTACGGTCGTTTATCGACACCCACTTTTCCTCCAAGCCCGAAACTACAGACATACCTACCCCTCAATCGTCGACGACTCCTACTAGCAGCAACCGCAACTCAGTTGCCTCTGTTCCAGAACCACGCACCGCCGACATGCGGTCGCTCACGAGGAATTCTGGCAGCGGCGCAGTAGGCGCAATCGGAGGCACATTGGCTGCAGCAGGCATGCCGAGACCGTCAGTCGCCGAGTCACATTGGTCTTCCGGTCGTGCATCCGCAAAGAGCATAATCTCCAATGTCAAGAGCCTACCAGAAGAGAAGCCAGTGGCTTCAGGTGGTGGTGTCAGTGTGAACGTGCAACTCACAGAGCCGGTTCTGTTCCTACGGGGCTTCGAGCAAGCCGAACACGCGGAGCGAAGTACAGCTATGCTCCGTGGAACACTATGCTTAAAGATTTCGAAACCCGCGAAGTTGAAGGCTGTGACGCTCAAGTTCAGAGGTAAAGCGACGACCAAGTGGCCAGAAGGTACGTTCGTTCATCGTTTTCCCCGTTCAAACTAACTGTAATCAGGCATTCCTCCAAAGAAGGTTGAATTCGAAGAGGTTGATACTCTGATGAGCCACACATGGCCATTCTTTAACTCACAATTCCCCACTGCAGAGAACGGCACTGGTGCAGATCACGTGGAACTCTACAAGGGCTCTAACGGATTGACTGGATCGCCAAACAACTCTTCGCTGAATTTAACGACAAAAGAGGCCAAAAGACTATCGTTACAAGTCAACCAATCGCGAAGCTTCGGTAAGGGCGACACCCCTGGAGGCGGCCCCTCGGTAGCACAGAAGGGTTACAGGACCTTTAACCCCGGAGAGTACATGTACAACTTCGAGCTGCCTTTGGATAGCCACCTTCCCGAAACCATCGATGTCGACCTTGGTTCCGTCAAGTACGAGCTGGAAGCGACTGTAGAACGCGCTGGCGCCTTCCGCACAAACCTCATGGGAACAAAGGAAGTTACTCTGATCCGCGCGCCATCAGAGGGGTCACTAGAGCAGGTCGAGCCTATTGCGATCAGCCGCAGCTGGGAGGACCAATTACACTACGACATCGTCATCTCCGGCAAATCCTTCCCACTCGGCGCTCAGGTTCCTATCGCTTTCAAGCTGACCCCACTGGCGAAAGTGCAATGTCATCGTATCAAAGTGTTTGTCACGGAGAACGTCGAGTACTTCTGTAACAACAAGCGAGTCCATCGAATGGAGCCTGTCCGTAAGGTTCAGCTGTTCGAGAAACGGGCGGATGGCCCACCGACCAGTACATTCCCCGGCAGTACGATGCGGATAGTGTCTGGAGGGGGTGTCCCCTATGACCAGCGGGCAGCCGCTTCTCGAGGCGAGGACGTGCAGGTGCAAGATCCCACCAACCTACTGGGTGATCTTGGAGGAGATGCAAACATCGGGCCTACAGAGATGGAGTTCAATGTGCAACTGCCAAGCTGTCACAACCTCAAAGAGAAGGACAAGTCATCCAAGTTGCACTTCGACACCACGTACCAGAACATACAGGTGCACCATTGGATCAAGGTACGTCTAATCTTGGGTTTCATTGTCGTACACACTAACAATCGACTAGCTTGTCATGCGCCTTTCGAAACCGGACGCCACCGACCCGACTAAGAGAAGGCATTTCGAGATCTCGATCGATTCACCCTTCCATATCCTTTCGTGTCAAGCTACGCAAGCCAACACAGCGCTCCCAGCGTACTCGTCGCCCGAACCTGCCCTGAGCGGCACACGGGTACCCGAGTGCGGATGCCCCAATGCACCATCCCGGCGCAACTCACCGACCAGCTTTGTACCTACGCTGAGCTCTTTGGGTCGCTCGAGAGGGAACTCGGACGCCGTACTACCAACTCCATCACCAAATCTCACCCGCCCACAAGCAGCACACATCGGCGGGCCGAATGACTCCACGGTGCAAAGACCCATTCACCTCATGCGCGTACCCTCTTTCAACCCACCCGCATTTTCGGAAATAGAACCACCGCCTCCTCTGGAAACCCCCCCTCCTCTATACGAAAGCATCGCATCGCCGACGAGTGGTCTGGCCGATTACTTCTCCCGTTTGTCTGATGCATACGACGATTCTGACAGCGACCCCGAGCGCAACGACCGAGCGCGCGTCGAGATCCCCCTGACGCCAGGAGGTCGCACCGCCAGGAGTATGGATGAGCGCCGTACTTGGCTGCCTGTCGGCCATTGAGCATCACCATACTCCCATGACGTCATGTGTTACGTTCTCTTTCAAGTTCATGCATATACATTTTTACTTACATCTACGACGTTTCTCTTTTCGCTTTTAGGCGGTCTGTGCATTCATTGTCTGGGAGATATGGGGAATTCCCTCGGTACCACGGTGCATTCGGAAAATTCTGCAGCGCATTTTCGTTCCTGTCGCATTGCTCGCTCTCGGGCTGTTTCGCGTGTTTGGGTCAAGGGTTCGCTGGGATGTTCCTTCGCTGGACCAGGCGCTTTGTTGTTTCATGGGCACAAGCTTCATGTTAGATGGGTGGCCCTTAGGTCCCCAACTTCGCGCTTTCACATTTCCCGTAATCATCATATCTAGTCGACCACATAGGTTGTAAATATCACGACGTACATATTATTCATATCCATGACCATTTACGATGTGCGTTCCTCTGGGCTTGGTTGTCGCGTGCAAGGGGTGTTGAAGAAAATTAACTCCGGACGCCTATCTTGAAGGGCTGTATCAACAGATGTATTGTTACATACGTCTATCAGACTGCACAGCGCAATAGACAGAGCCAGGTCGCATGTCTCAAACATAGATCATACCGACATACAAAATCTATTCTCGTCCTCTTCGTAGCTAATCTCGCATACCTTGATTCAGCATCCTTCATGACCATTAATTGATACACAACAACCAACTCACACGTCACGAACATCCATCTTTCACCCGTCATCCAACCGTGTTCCCCGTGCTAAGCGCCCGCGCAACGCCCATCAAGTCAAGCATGGACACATCCATCAAACACGGGCCTTGCCTTGGGTTCCGTGTTGCAAGGTCAGCCCGCCTACCTCATGCCAGGCTCACCATCTCTACATCCGCAACTATAACAACTAGGTTCTACCATCTACTCCTTCAACATTTCAGGCACAGCCCTGGAATGTTGCATTTAGTCGCCCGTTGCTGAAGTGACGTATGTGGAGATTGTGGAGTAGGTACTGGGAACGAGGAAAGGGGTATTCTTTTTCGGTGCATCTAGATGCGATGCGCGCGTTCCTGTTGTTGTTGTGTTTGTTGTTGTGACTTTGCACGTCTGTGAGTCTTGGCCTCTCGTATTTGGGTTGCTATCAACGGGGAATTCTGCACGACTACCCAACCTGCAGCCTCATTAACCTGCCCAAGTATGAATTCGCGATACCGCGAGTTCTGTGCGCGGAAGCGCGTTTTCTGCCTTAGTTTAGGCTCCTGGATAGGGTGACCAGCGTTTGGTGTTCCTGCCGACCATTGTGTAGACGGCAGACTTGCCGTGGTGAAACGCGGCTATCGGACCGTTTGGCGAGATCTTGACAGGTTTTGATGGGCAAGGATTGTTGCGGAGTAAAGTAGGTTGTGTGGAAGGAGGTTATGACGTCGATGGTCGTGGCCATGCTGGCCTTGTTGAGTAGATGGTAGATCGGACATTTGCATGGAGAAATCTAAGGGAACGAGATGGTGTTGAGAACTAGGGTTTCACCTGCATCCTTGCGTGATCGATCGATTAACGCTGGGGAGCTGAACGTGCCAAATTCGCGTGAACGGGACATTGCTGAGAAGATTAATGTTTTGCGCTGCGCTGGGGTTGCAT